CTTCCTTCCTTCCTTCCTTCCCTCCCTCCCTCCCTCCCTCCCTCCCTCCTTCCTTCCTTCCCTAGCTCCTATTGTATTTTTATCGTTTAATTTTTTTTTGGTCCTGATTTAATTTTTTTTGATCCTGATTTAGTTTTTGATCCTGATTTAATTTTTTTGACCCCTATCCCCTTCACGACCGATTCGTGATTTGAGAGGACAAATTTAAAGAACCGTCAATTGCCATTCTGTTGGCTGCCAGCCCCGTCTCCTCTGCTGAAAGCTTAGCTTCGAGCTAAGCCGCATCATGCTACAGAACGACAGGGACCCCTACAATGAGTCTACCGCTGGTCCGTCGAGCATCGCGCCCGGATGGAACTCTAAATTACAGCTCCTTCCCCTTCCAGTACGGCCTCGTCAGCCCGAAAGGTCCCCCCGATGTCCAAAGCACTTGAAGCCCAGGCGCCGAAATCGCAGCCCGCTCAGCCTCCGCAACAGCCAGCGTGGCCAGCAAAGCCACCTTGCCAGATTTTGAGTGCATCTGATGCCTATCAACTCCGCATTGCAGGCCTGTGTGGCGGACGACGTGGGTGAGCCCGGGACACGGGGCTGAGATGCAGAACAAGTGTTAGTTCCCTCGTGCATCCCAAGAGCAACCAAGCCATCGCTGCTTGAATCTGCCAAGCCGAACCCTGGCTTGGAGAGCACACACGCTGCAAACCCCATCCAAAGTCGGAATGTCAAGAAAACTTGCAAACCCAAAACCTTATTCCCACTGTACTCTACTATAGGCCGACTTCAATCGTTTCCAGCCCTGCTCCTGAAGGATCAGTGTCTCAGAAATACACTGACACTGGCAATCTCAGCCCACGGCAAGCAGTGTGTGGGCCATGCTTGGAGTTCACAAACACTGAAAACAGCTGCAGAGAAGCAGCGGATACGCGTGGCGACGCTTCGGGCCACTTGGAGTTCATGTCTTGGCAACGCCACACCCTTGTTTGCCTTGCCCTCCCGACATATCCCACGTGGAGGCTGTTTTGAACAAACAGGTTGGGTCTCGGGTGTGAGGAAGGCCAGACACAAAATCTCAGGAGGTCACATTCGAACCTATCTTGAGTGGGAGATCCCAGGCATAGAGACTCTCGACAACCCACAAGAGGACACCGTGAGCCGTGGATCTGCTATGAAAGCCCGCACCAATTGAGAAGATGCCTTGTCATGACGTCCCCTGGGTTTAGGGGTTTTTTTTTGACGCCTCTTTTCCACCTGCCCGGCTAGGTTAGGTTGAACGCCAAAGTTGGCTGAGGCAGTTGTTCATGGCTGCGGCCTCTTCACCCACACCCAACATTCACCAACATTGCACTAACATAACCGCCATAACACCGAAGCTCGCACACCACACAGCATGCCCATCGGAGTACACTCAACAATGGGACATCAGCACACGTCATGTCGCAAGGCCCCTAAAGTCACTATAAGTAGGCACTCCAACAGTATGACCCACACCGACATTCTACACAACCTGCGCCAATGACAATGCGAATTAGGTACCTGCGAGCCACACACCTGGATTCCACACTGAAACTCAAACAACTAACCTACACATTGTCGCCACCCCTCAACTCGCCTCCCGGTACCATGCCGGAGCTTTGCTCAACAGCGTCATAGATCACTGCACATCCGTAGGTAGCAACCCAATAGACCATCAGGGTTTAGGGTTTAGGGTTTCTCAGCGGCAGTTGCGAGTGAAACGTCGACAAGTTGCTCCGCCGCAGACAGGGCTCAGGCTCCTTTGGCTCTGAGCTCAGCTAAAATGAACACCATGCGACTCGGCAATCTGTGCCAGTTCTTGCTGCAAAGCAATGTACCAACCCTGCTGCTTCAAGAGCTGCCAAAGAAGTACCGCAAAGTATGCCAGCAGCGACAGCACCACCCGGTTGCGACGAGTACTGGATGCCGTTACGCCGAAGAGGCTTACAGGCTTTTGCCAATTCTTGGTGTAGTCGATAAGCCCAGCCACGGGATCGATCAAGCCTAAGCCACGTCGAATGAAACTAAGGTCCGGTTCGCGACATCCGGTTTCGTGTTTGAAAACCCCATGGAAAGCCCTGAGATGAGCAACTGGCTTACACACACTGCGGCCCAGTCACTGCAGAGGTAATTGTCCAAGAACGTTATGTCCTTCAAGTTGTCCTCTTCAAACAGTGTGCTTGTGACTCCGTATCTTAAGCGCTCCAGCCGCTCTCGCCAACTTTGCAGGATCTTGAGGGTGTCGTCAAGGAGCAAACGCTCCAGAGACACCAGATTGTTCACGATGGACAGCATCACAGCCAGAACGCCTAGCAATATCAAGGATCCAAAAGCCAGAGTGTTGTAGTGGTGCTGGCCGTCTGTCAGCCCAACTGAATACACAAGGAGGACAGAAACCAGGGTCAAGATCATTGCTAAAACCAGCATGACTGCTTCCGATTTCCCCTCGAGCACCAAACAGTCTGTTCTTGTCAGGAGTTGAAGGAACGCGAACTTTCGTGCTGCCAGATAAGTGACGCTTGCATTTGCGTCGTCCTCTTGTGGGATCTGAGCCTGCTGGTCATCCTCCTGCTTCATTGACTCTTTGTTGCGAAATTCGAGACCCTTCCCACGAAGTTTGTTTGCAACGAAGACACACCTGAAGCGCGCGAAACCCCCGTACCGACGCTCCAGGTCGCTGGATAATTCTCGAGCAGGAGCGAGCGGCACATGGTCGGGCAGAAACAGAAGCTTGTCGAACTGGGGTCTGTACATGGCAGCCAGAACTGCTCGACGCCTACGTGGTGCAGCTAGATACAACGCAGCTAGCGTCGCAAGCTGTAACCTGCCAAGGCTGTCAATAAGCCCGTAGCAGGCTCCGATCAAGCGCATTGATGTAAGGAATGCCATGAAAAGATACGCGCGCTGGCAGGTCCAGACACCATCATGGCTCCACAATCCCTGGTAACCGTTAGCAAGTCGGACCAGTGCCGGAAGTAGCGCTGGGCCCAGACTGCCCATCAGGAGAACTGCGACAGCAGGCGGAGCGATGGGCACGGACGATGCTGAAAACTGCTCCAACTGAGCACGCAGCGGCGCAGAGGGGTCCTGCTTCAGTGGACCATTAAACCGGTGTTATACCCGTGCCAAACATGCTCAAGGCACACCGATCACCATGCAAATTCGTGGAACTAAGCCCTTGAAGGGCCGCTGAAATACTGAAAACGATCAAGCTTTCATGTCTTGCGCCTGTCCTCTTCTTCGTCTTTGTCGGTATCCTGAATTTCGTCCCGAATGACTTGGAAGACTGCATACATGAAGTGGCTGGTAAGGCGACGCTGGGTTGTGAAGAGTCCGTGCTCCTTCTCCTGGATATGCACATCCATGTAGCGCACAAGATCCTGCATAGAGGGAATCAAATGGTCCACTTCCTTCTCATCAACAGTAGTCCCCTTCGCAATCTTCACCATGAAGGCATCCTGCTCTATCATTTCCCGCATCTCATCCAAAAGCATTTGACCGGCACCGTTCTCGATGCAACACTGGTAGACATCGACATGACATGTCAGAGACAAGATCAGCAAACAGACATACGGACCCCAAAGCTCGAGCATGGGATTCTCAGGCTTCATGAACTCCATCAAAACCTCTTCATCAAACACAACCACGGTCATGCTCCACAACAAGTACAAGGGCAACGCAGACAGCCCAGTCAGAATTAACGTCAGAGTCCATCGGAGAAAGGCAGGGTAACGCTCTGCAGCAGTTTCTGGCTCAGCTGGTCCTGCGTTTAAACTCATGTAGCCAGATGGAGCAGCGCCACACGTAGCGGTGTACACGACTGCCACGGGCAGGAGCACGGGCCCCAACACAGTTAGGACCAACACCAGCGCCACTGAAGCCAACACGAAAGCAAGCGAATGTGTATCGTCACCTTCCGAATTCACATGTATATCCGGCATTCGCTTGCTGATCATGTAGATAATCCTCATGTACTGTCGCACTAGTGACCTCCACGGCGTACAACAACAACAGTTCGTCTCTTCCTCCATGCTAGGCGCGAACACACCCTGGCTTGAAGTCCGCTGCACTCGTATTTTGTGAAGGCCATGTTGGTGAGAGACCTCGTGAAAACGGAGCGTGGATGTCCTGTCCATCTTCCTAAGAATTGTTGATGTTGCCCCCGAACTCGGTGAGATCTCATCCACATCCACGTCCAACGGGCTCGGGGACTCATCTTCCACAAACTGCACTGTTGCTGTCCGGGACAAAGCCGCCATGTGCGGCTTGATTTTTGGGCAGTCCCTGCATTGGATCCTCGAGCACAGTCATCAAGTGAAGAGCGCTGCTGTAGCGAAGACAGACAAAAACGTGCAATCCAACGCATAAAGAACATGAATGCATGAAAACATTCCGTGCGATACCTAGCTATACTGGACAATTTGTATCACATTTTGGTATCTCAATCTTCTACCCTTACAAGCCCGGACATTCTTTGCGTGTGCATATTGGCGAAGCTTCACATACAAGTGCTCGTCCGCTTGAACGAAATTCATGTTGGAAGTAAAAATAAACCACTGAATTTATGCGAAAGTCAACTTCAGAGTTAGCGCGTGGTTGACGGAAGATCGAAACAACTCATGCAAACACAAACAACGCACTGCGATCTCTGACAAAACAAGAACATGGAAGGGGTGAATATACGCACACAGCGACCGATGGACTTCGGCCATACAAATACCGCTGCCACACGCTGCCACAGGCCTAAAGCTTGAAGGTGAAGAACTCTGCTCATTTGTAAACAGATAACCAAGAAATGCCGGCCCGCGTTTCGCACATTGCCAGACAGTACATGTAATGGGCTAGTATACAATATCCTGCCGATGTGCGTTGGCATTGGTGTGCTGTTGTTGTTGTTGTTGTTGTTAACAAAGATGTCTTACATGTGCCTTGAAGGTAAATACCCTTGACATACAGGACTGCCCAGCTAGGAAGATGCGCAGGGAGAATGAACGGGCCTTGCAAGGGGCACACAGACACAGCGAGGCCAAGCTCATCAGTGACGGAACTCGGCACATGCCCGTTGAAGCAGACTTGGCAGTGACTACGAGCGAAGACGAATGCAATCTCCGCAGCAGACAGGCGATTGGGCCCCGATCAATTCAGCTGAAGCCACGGGTCGAAACGACGTGCGCATGTCATATGTAGAGTGTGTGAGTTGACCAGGACACAGGACCTCGCGGTCTCGAGTTTAATAGGGATAAGAAAGAAGGAGGGCTTGGAGGTAGGAACATAAGCATGCTGTGCACACGGACGCCATGTGTGCAGAGCAGCGGCACTCGCAAGCTGAAGCCGCTGACTCCTTTTTTCCTTTGCATCAAATCATCAGCCCAAGCTCCGCTGTAGTGAGACCTGTCAGCTGCGGTACAATGGCAATTAGCCGAACGACTTCTGAGATATCTGAGATCACCGCGACCTCCCCTACAGAACACCCATCGAATGATGCACATGAATATGCACTCCATATCCCGCCAGCAGCATCATGACGCCGCGGCCTCTGCTGGTTGTCTTGCAGATCACTGGACCTGGCCGGACGATACTAGAGCCAGTCTACTTACGACGATTCCAATGGACCAATACACGCAAAAATAATCAAGCCCAAAGTGAAAACCCGACGAACCGACATTCACACGCATCGAGGACCCTTGCAAGCTCTCAGCCGAGAGCCTAAACTCTGACAGACTGCAGAGGGAAAGTTAAGCAGTCTAGCAGGACAGTATCAAGAGAACAACACTGTGAATACGAGCAGGTATGGATCCAAGACGTCCTCCTAACCACGGAAGCCTCTTGAGAACTTCACAAGCCGAGTAGCCAAGGCCATGAGGCGGCAAGAACAAAGAAGCTGGAGACCTCTGCTTTTTGACCCTTTAGCACTGGGAGCGCTGCCAGTGCAGCCAGCAAGGCTGGCAATAGCCTTGACCATCCTCGCTGCTCCACCTGCAGAGTTGCAAGGTTTCAGGCCGAAGAACTGTAGGCCGTGAGCTGCTGGCTATGTTGCTGCCCGGACGCCTCAGAGTCCACCAGAAGCCTGCGACCCCGCAGGAGGCGCAGCAGGCTTTGGATTCCGAAGCCTCTGCAAGGAAGCAGTGGGATGATTGGGACGATGGAACAGACGTGGTTTCTGCACTGGCACATCATCGAACCGAACTTTTACAGAGCCACACGCTTGCCAGCGTGCTCGCAGGCAAGATCTGACAAGGGAAGGCTCTTCAAAACCATTCGACCTGAAGTTGAGACTCAGACTACTACACTACACGTTCATGGAAAGATCGTGCAATGCTACTGCTTCTAACAATGTGGTTCGCTCGCAGCTCTTAGCCATAGACCTATGATAACGTTGGAAACAGTGATGTGCATGGTGATCGAAACTCTGTGTGCCAAAAAGTGGCGACGGTCTTGACTATAAGGATGCTGACGGCGATGATGATGCTGATATTGATAGCGATGATGGTGATGATGATGACGACGACGATGATCATGACGAGGACGACGACGACAACGACGACGAGGACGAGGATGAGGACGACCGACATCATCATAATCGCAGGAAGGAGAACAAGGAAGAGGAGAATGATAAGATACTGGTCACCACAAGGACCGTCATGGCAATGACCATCGCAGTCGCTAAAGCGGATGTCAGTGAAAATCGCTATTGCCAGAAATACCTACCAATAACATTCCTGAACGCACTGTCTCATGACTGGACTCATGGCTGCTTCCCAAGGCTACTACTCGAGCCCTTTCAGCTACTCGCATTGCCCAGTCCCGACCGTGCCTTTGATTGTGACTAGGCTATCATCATGACTGAGATTGTCAGTGACAGTCAACATCATCGTCTGCCGTCTACTGGAGGCCGCGAGCCTCCCCTCTATATGTTATCAAGATCTTCTGTGACTGCTCGTAAGATGGAAGATTTCATCCGCAGAACACGTCTTCCTACAGCTCTCGCATTCTGAACACCGAAGAAAGCCTCAAGACTTCCCCCTTTCAAGCGGAATAAACTGCAAAGACAAAGCGCAATGCCGAGATGGGCCTGTAAGAGAGCCTCCGATTCCTCGCGCAAGTAGCAGAGCGCCTCGTTGGTCATGCTTGGATGAAGTTTGCCCCGGTTCTTCTGAGCTGTAGCTTGGCTAGGAATTAAAGACATTTTGCCCTACTTGCGCACGACAACATGCCTGCTTTGGATCCAGAGTTAGCCCTGTATGATATGTAACCGATGTTGCAAACATGCTTCGTGCTATGAACAAGCGTGTTTGCACCTTGATGCTGCACGCCTTCCATGTCTCTCGACAATCACAAATTCGGATGTCTTTGAGCACGCGGTACCATCTCAATGCATGCAAAGTGTGCAGCAACCGACAGAAACGGTGTCAAATGATTAGAAGGCCGCTCAGGAATGGCATCGAATGGGATGCCATTCACTGATTCCTAGAGTCCTAGACTCCCCAGAAACCAAACCATCAAACGTTTCGGAGGAGAGCAGTGCAAGAGACGGCCGGAGCCGGCAGCAATCGAAAACCTTAGATGCACATCACTTTCCAAGCAGACACCTGCAAGCCAGGACTTCTCAGAACCGAAATATGCAACGCGAGGACTCCTGGCAAGACTACACAATCGAGCACCGACTGGGCCTTCAGGTCCCCATTTTTTAATTGGCCATCTGCTCCTTTCGACCTCTGTTGCTTCTGTACACAATGTCTTGCAACCATGAAAGTGTCTTTAAAGCGAGTGGTGTGCCATGGCCAGCCAGAGCCTTCTACGCGCCTAAGGTTGCGTACGGGCCTTTAGCTACCAGAACCATGGCACATTGTCAGTACTTTGTACAAAGTCCGCTGCCGATATCTGCTGAAAGACCACCGCTCGTTGTTCAAGCGTCCCGGATCAGACCGCTTATGACAGCAGTCATGAGCACCCGCATCTGCCAAACCTACACAATCGAGATGCACACTCGCGGTGGTGCTTATGGTGACGATTTTGGCAAGGGCTCACCTCAGCATCGCTGGTGCCTTGACCGGATTTTTGGCTCCGTTGGACAGTCTTGGCCTTCTTGGGCCGGGACGCCTGGGGCGCACCTCCTGCCGCCGCCGGCGCGGCTGCCCGCTTTCTCCGAAGGGCCGCCCTTCTGGCTGCCAAATTTCCCTTCTTCCGCGCTGGCTTGAAATCGGTTCCCTTGAAGGGGTTGGGCCACCTGGCCCACTCCTCCCGGCCCTGCTCAAACTCAACCTCCGTGACCAGGCTCTGCTCCAGGCGCTGGCGCAGGGAGTCCTGGTCCAGGTCTTTTCCGATGAAGACCAGCTCCTGCCGCCGGTCCTCATCAACACATGGTAGTTCCAGCTCTCTTTTAGAACGATGACTCAGAATTCTTAAAAACGGCCAAAGGCTGGGCGAGTCTCTCCGTAGGGCGCAGTTCGGTACTCTTCCGGAGTGTCGGCAGGCCAGTCTTTGGGATCCAGAGAGCCGTGCAGCCAGCCAGGACCGGCGTCGATGGACAGAGTGCTGCCTGCCTGATGCCAAACAAAAGAGGCATCATCCAGGCCGGCCACCCAAAGCCGACCTTGACAGGAGGAGGAAGTCGGTTTCCGACCCTCAAACACGAGGTTTTAAAGACCCGGGAAAATGCTTTCCAAGTCCAACTGGGAGGCCCTTGGATCGAAGAATCTCCGTCTCCAGGCCGCCCTTCAGCAGCTCGTCCAGGCGCTTTGGATGGAAGGGCTTCTGCGCTCGGAAGACCAGGCTGGCAACCCCGTACTGCATGGCATCGGGCACATGATTCCCCTGCAACTCCTGAAACCAGCCTGGCATGCGCTCGACCTCTTCCATGTCGAAGCTGCGTGTGTTCAGCAAGAGACTCGAATCAACCTTGCCGAAGGTAGAGCGGACCACTTTCGCCTTGGGATTCAGCTTTTTGAGAAGCGCCTCCAGCGTCTCGAGGTCTTCCCTCTGGACCAGGTCTACTTTGTTCAGGACTATGACATTGGCACACTCCACCTGGTCAATAAGGAGTTGCGCAATCGTCCGCCTCGGATCTGTGCAAGGCAAATCCGCTAGGGTGCATTAGGGTAAAAAAAGCCATCTCGCCCACTTACAGAGAAATCTGACAGCGCACAAATGCGCGTAGCAACGCGCTCACAGACCTTTTCACCTGCTCCGTTCCAGCCAACAGCGGCTTCGGTGAGCACGTCTCGAAACATTATCTACGCTGCACATGGACCGGAAAGTGCACGCTTTCAGTAGAGCCCCCTCTGGTCCGGGACAACGTGCAGCTGCAAAAAGGATGGCTCAGGACCCTAACTTTCGAGCCTTCCGCCAAGCCGCCCGCTTCTCAGCAGCCACCCGCCTCAACTCTTGAGCAGCCGGCGTGTCCTTCAACGACCAAGTGCCCGTCACCATGAGCTCGGTCAAGACCTTATTGTGACTCCACTTGGTCAAGCCGTCGCAAGGCATGTGAGATCCAGGCACCCAGCGCACCAAGTTGTTGCTGTCTTCACTGAGTAGGCCCTGCCTTAAGACAGCCACGTCGATGGCTATCTTCCGGTCCGCGGGCAAAGACTCTGCCCCGAGGGCATCGTAGCCCGTTCGAGCATCCGTGACCAAGATGTGCTGCCACTTGGAAGCACACACCTTCCACTTCAGGATGTCAAACTTGGGATCCACGAGCTCACAGAACACGGCCCTCACGTAGTCCCCATGCTCGAAGGCCGTGGCTAAACTGGACACCCCGGCCGACATGGAACACCGCACGACCCGGTGGATCTTGTTGCTCGTGGCCTCCAGGATGCACACCGGGGCATCCCCTTTGAAGCACCTGGGGAGATGCCAGCATGATGATGACCCCACCTTGACTGGCCCCTCCTGGCATGGCGCCGTAGGCCGCGTCGCTCACGGAAAGGACCACCACATCCTCCAAAGGACAGCCCAGCTTTGGAATGCGCACAACCACATCCTCCTGGGCCCGCTTAACGCCCTGAGCAAGCCAACGAAGGGCATCTAAGCGTCCTCGCCCTGCCATCTGCTGCACCAAGGAAGCCACATAGCATAGGTCATAGCGACTTTGCCTGGCAGCCCAGTTCAGTTGACCCACGATGGACCCTCGTCAGCCTCCTCTGCTTCTTGAACGCGCCCTTCAAGGAGACTGATCACGTCCTCATTGCTGGCCTCACCTGACGGTACCTGGTCACTGGTTGGCAACCACCCAGATGGTGTGCTGGTGGATCTCGCTCTGAACTCCGAGGACCCTGATGGTGTGCTGCTGGATCTCGCTGAGAACTCCGAGGGCCTTTCCACCCGCGAAGGGACTTTAGGCATGGGGATAGCCTTGGTGTATTCCGCCATGGAGTACTCCATTTCCATGGTCTCGGGATCTTGGCGCTCCCAACGCCCGCAGAACTTTTGCCACCCGTCCGTGGCCTTCCGAAGTTTGCCGAACTTGAGAACTTTGTGCAGCTCCTCCCAAATCACGTCGCCGGCATAGCGCGTGTCGTCCACGTGGATGCTTGCCATTGCCTTCAGCTCGCCGCGCTCGTTGAAAGCCCGAAACAACCCGGGCACCAGCACCAGCTCCATGAGACCGAGGCCCTGGATCGTGTCACGGTACTCCAAGCACCAAAGCCTCGGACTTTCGGGGAGCCCGAACCCGGCCTTTGTCAACTCCACGAGGTCGCCGCGCATGTTCTCCCCCAAGCCAGCCAGCAGGAACTCCGTGACTTCCGGGGGATATCCGCTCGGTACCTTCACGTAGATCTTCTCCACGCGGGGCAGCTCCTTCCCTTGCAAAAAGGCTGCCGAGACGTCCTCGTAGTGAACCGTCCAACCTTTCTGCACCGCCACGAAGTTCAGCAGGTTGTGACCCAAAACACTTGCCGTAGGGGAGGACGTCGGGTAAAGTCCAGCGTCTGGATCCTTGTGTCCTCCGAAGATCCACCTCGCCTTAAGCTCGGCCGCGGACAGCTCACTCCCTCCTTTGTTGGTGAGCACAAACCGCGAGGTGAGCACCCGCGCGGGGTCAACAATCTGACCCAACGGCACTCCACGGATGCCGCTGTGCTCCAGGTACACCCCCACAGCTTTCTTCAGCGGTTCGACATAGGCCCTGACGCCAATCTTCGGAGAGCCCGGACCATTTGTACTCCACTCGCGCCTTGCCAGTGGTCACCTCCGTCACCCCGTCCATTTCGGCAGCTGCCAAACAAGCACTCACTTTCAGCAGCTCATCCACCTCCGCATGTGAAGAGGGCGAGGACCACAGTGTCCACTGGCCTTGCGTCTCCTGGATAAGGGCATCCAGCTCTCCCAGCTTAAAGAAGTCCGAGTCCACGTTGGCTTCCAGCGCAAGGGTGGCCTCCGCGTTGGTGGTGATCATCGCCTCGTACGTGGCCTCCCCAACCAGCTGCTCCCCTTGGCGACCGGCTGTGCGGGGTCCTCGCGCTCGCCCGCCCTTCGCCTTAGGCTTGGCCAGGATAGCTTTGCGCACCCGCTTGACTCGGAGATAGGTATCCTCCATCTGCTTCCTCAGCTGGGCCTCTTGCATGGTAGAGGGCGGCTTCATAGATTTTGCCAAAGACTCAAACAACTTCTGCTTCTTGGCAAAGTCCAACTCGTGAGGCTCGAGGTTCCCTTCGGTGGCCTCCTGCTGCCTTTCTTGAAAGGTTCGCTTCATCGAAAAAGGAAGGTCGTCCAGGAGTTGACGCCGCTCGACCTTGGCTCGTTCCTCCTCGGGATCCTCTGGCTCCTGATCGGAGCTCGAGGATGATGATGAACTCGCTGCCTCGTGCCCGGCCTCCCCGTCGACATTCGTGCCTTCGCCATCCGCCGGCACCTCCTCCACCTTCAGCTGGCCACCCTCGAGCTCCTTTGTCACGTCGTCCAAGGCCTGGTTCACGTAGTCGGCGCTCACCATCTCCTCGGTCGTGGCCAACCTCACCTTTTCTAGCGGATAGGCCTTCACCTTGCCCCGTAGCCGCGCCCAGATGCGCTGAGGGACAGGACGATCTCGCTCCACACACACCACCACCCCGGGGCCGACCCAGCTCACGTTGTCCTGCATCCGACGTGCCAGACCCTTCCGTGAGGGCGGGGGCTCATAGAGATAGACCACGGCCCCTTCACGGATCCCCTCCAGCTCCGGCGGCCTGGACCTCGAAGCCAAAGCTCGACGTAAAGCATCGCTTGCATCCAGCCAATGGAACGCCTCCAAGGCCCCGATTCGGATCCGTTCGGCCCGGGCCTTGTTGTTCGCGGCCTCGTTGTAGCGAAAACGCATCTTGCCACTCGCCAACTGTTCCATAAGAGAACCCGGGACCATGCTGTTGCGACCAGTCACCGCCTGAAGGGGGGACACGCCACCCTTATTCAGCGTGCGGTTCTTGGCTGCGAAAGCAGCCGAAGCTGCTCGCCTCATCTCGGCGACCCCAAGCAAGCTCAGGCTCTTGACCATCTTCATCATCATCAACTTGACGATAGCACCGTGCCGTTCAGCATGCCCCAGCCGCCACTTCGCGCCCTCCGGAACAATCTCATGAACCACGGCAAAGAGGTCGTTCATCACCTGCACCGAGCCGGCGAACTCCGGCCCCCCGTCCGTGATAAGCAAGTCGGGCGGGCCGAATACACTGTACCACACATCTTGCAGCACCTCGCGGGCAAAAGTACTATCCGGCCGATCCGTGAGGTCACCTAAGTGGTAGTCAGTGAGGCCATCCACAAAGTGAGTGACCGCGTACTTGTGCCCGGCACTGTCCCAGATGTAGAAGGTGTCCCCGGAGAGCCGCTCGTTGAAGGCCTTAGGCTTGTGGTACGCTACCTGGGGCTGAGCTTGCGGTGGCCGGACCATAGCACAAATCTGACATCGCAAACCCCTAGCCAGACTCACGAGGCCTTCAGCTGCTCCAGATAGAGAGAGCATCCTCGCGAGCCGCTCGTTGCTCAAGTGGCCCATTGTCACATGAAGATGTGCCACCATGCTCCTCAAGCGGCGGGGCTGCTGCAGATCCTTCCCGGAGAAGAGGATGTAATCGTAGCGCTCGCCAGTCATAGACTGCTTGGCCAGCTCCTCGCGCAGATTCTCCTCCGGCAAAGATGAGCTGCTCACCGGAGCAGTCTCCCACATAGTCCCAAGGGTTTCGCTGCAAAGCGACCATGTCACCCCTCCTTCCCCGGCTCGCTTCCATCCCTTCTCGCAAGCCTCGAGAAGGCGCACACACCAAGATCGCGGCCACACCGAAGCACACACGGCGCGGGAGATGCGCCCCGAGCCCACCAAAGCCGTACCCCGCAAACATTGGTGTTCGTGGGGCTTGTGGCGGCAATACGCTTGCCTCATAATCTCCCGAGCCACTTCCCCATCATTCACATCCACAGTCACCTTCCCATAGTACGGCTTGCCAGTCTCGGGGTCCTTCAGGCCAAACGCGCACATACAGGCTGTAGCCCTGCATACGGCCGCCCGCTCCATCATGTAGCTCAACTCCAAGGCCTCAGAGCCGGCGGGCTGCACTAACATCACCATCCGCCCTTGCCCCACCTGAAGCTGCCAAAGGTCACGGCATAGGCGCCACAGGGGAAGATCTCGCCGTCGCTGCTCCCACAAGCCATCCTCGTTCAGCTGACGACGCGAAGCGGGCCCCAATGTTCCGCGGGTGGGTTAAGGACGAGGAGGTCGGGCTTCTGCTTAGCCACGTAGTCCAGAAGCTCCTTAGCGACCCCCTGATGCCGAGGGTCCCGTTCGCCGAGCCACTCGTCGAGATCCACTCCCGACCAGCCACATCGGGTCCCAGCATAGGCCGAGAGGATACCCACGGTCACGAAGAGCTCCATGACTCGCCACCGACCATCGGCCTGCCCAGCCCGCTTCACTGCATCCGTGGCCTCCTTCGCCAGGCGAACACCGGCCTTGAGACGTTGGTTGCGGCCGCGGTTAGGACGATGACCCCTCACATCAGGTGCCACACGTCCGGATTGTTTAGCTTCTGCCTCATGGAGCCGAAGTGACCCCAGACCGTGGCGATCTCCTTGGCAAACAGGTGGCTCAACCACCGGGGATTGCGCTTCCACTTCTTGTCCCCATCGGCCTCCACAGCCCGCTTTGCCCTCATCTGAAGCAGCAACTTCTTCCACAGCGACACCCTCATCCGACTCGCCAACGCTGCCGTCACATTGTACGCCAGTTCGTAGCTCCAGGCGTGGCTGAGGCTCGGGTAGGAGGCATTGACACCTGTCAACGCCCGGTTTGGGCTGTTTTGGCTTTGGCCACGGCTTGTCGCTCTCGCCTCTTCCGAAGCATCTCCACTTCCTCCGCAGTCAAGCCGGTGGCTTCCAAGGGACTCGCTGCCGCCGTTGACCCTCCGCCCCTTCATCGGTGCTGTCTGGGGCCGTGGGCCCGCCACACGTCGAGGAAGTTCCCCGTCGTGGCTCAGGTCGATCATCTCGGAGTCCACCCGCTTGAAGTCCCCGTCCGAATCCTCGTCGATGCGGGGACACTGTCGCGTCTTGTGGTCGGGGCTGTTGCATATCTTGCACTGGGGAGTACCGCTGGTGGCCATGTCCGGAGCGTCGCGGCTCCTTGCAATCAGGCACTACCGGCTTGTCTGGCAAAACTGCATCGGACACGGGCACTGCATCCAAGGACGTGGCCATGACAAAGTCCTCAAGAAGCTCCACACTCCCCACGTCACACTCATCCACTCCTATCGTGTAGTGCCCACTCTCCCGGCCCACACCGTAATTTCGGACCCCAAGCTTACGAGATGATACTGCATGACGTTCACAGTCAATCACTGCACCAAGCTGAGAGCATCCCGAACGAGAGAACAACGGAGGGCACCTTCCTTCCACTATGCTGAAGCCATAGATCACCGGCCTGCCCGCAAAGCTCCCCACAAAGGACAACCGGTACTTGCTGTTCAAGACCTCTCCTCCTCCGAACTTGAAGGCCTCACACTCCTTCTCAATGCAGTACCACCGGCCCTCGTTATGCCAGCGCTGAAGCACCTCATTTGCCCATTGAACCCCAGCCACCGACCTCATGCAACCCAAGTCGAGGATCACTTTGAACGCTAACTCCTTGAGCGACCACATCACCTCCCTCAGATCCAAGTCAACTGAGTAAACCCTGTGCACGGACCCCTTGTATGCCGCCTCATCGGAAACCCCTCGCTGCGAACCGAGGCCTCCTTGGTAGAGGGCTGCAAGAAGATCCCATTCACTGCCCGACGAAGCAGTGAGGGCAGGCGAAGGGGCGGAGGCCTTAGACGACTTTGTCGCCAGGACTGCCTGGACGTTCTTGCCATTGGTGGGGCATTCCCTCGACCAGTGGCCCAGCTGTCCGCACGCGTGGCACGGCCGAACCTTCATTTGCTCAGCAATCAGCTTCTTCCTTTCTTCCTTATCCGAGCCTCCATCAGCCTTCTTGAAGAACTGCCTCATCTTCTTAACCTCGGCAATGCGCTGCTTCGCCTTATACTGCATGCCAAAAGCCTCGTTCTCCAAGTGGGCCAGCTCGGGGGGGATATCGGCCGTCTCGCCATCCTCGCCGGACTCCTCCTCTTCCAGCCGTGAACGTCCCGCGGGGCTGGCCGGAGACTCTCATCGGTGCTCTCCGTTCGCCTCGCTGCAGCAGCCACTCCTCGCCATTGCGGGCAATGTTCGGCTCCGAAGCCCCGATCGGGAAGCCGCCTTCGCCCTCCAACTCCGGAGCCAAGTCGATCATGGCACTCGTGACCCGCTCCTCGTCCACATCCGTGCCCGCCTTTGTCTTGATCATCGCCCGGTCTCGCTTGGACAGCTTCGCGTGGTCCAAGAGGTGACCCACAAAGAAGGCCTCGCCCATCTCCAAGGAACTGTCCAGTCCCACCAGGTGGCTCCTGTAGATGCCCGCCCTGGTCACATATGACTCCAGGGATTCCCCAGGAGCTCGAGAGAGCTGTAGAAGCCTTCGGCGGTGCTCGTCCACGCGGTGCTTGTCCAGCTGGCGAATGATCGGGGCCTTCTCCAACGCCCTGAAGATCTTGTCCTTACCGTCGGGGCCATTCACATCCTGGATCGACAAATGTTTCACGAGTTGGGCCGCACGGTCCTTTAATTGGACCATGACCCTCGGCCCAATCAACTCCGGCGGCAACTGATCTCCTTCTCCCCCTATCCAAAACTCCACACTCCTCTTCCACTCGAAGTAGCTTTCTTGAGGCTTCGCTCTGAAGGCTGGGGGGTAGGTGTTGCTTATTTTCCCCGTCTTCTTTCCTTGCCCAGCGACCTTCACCTGGCCCTTCAGGTCCTCCTGGTCCTCGTCACCGCGGTACGCAAAGCCGTCGTCCATGCCGTTCTCGCGGAAGTGGCGGGCGCTGGTGCCGAACGTCGTCCACTCTTGGTCCTGGCCGTTCTCCGAAGGAGTCTTCCAAGACCAGTTCTCATTCCAGCCGTCATGACGTCGGCCGCTCGGCTGCCAGCTGCTGCCCGAAAGGTCCTCGTAGCTTCGGCCTTCCCAGCGGTCAGGAGAAGAGCCCTCCCAAGAGCCATCCTCCTTCCAGCCGTCCCACTTATCCCGGCGCTTTCGTGCGGAAGCACTTTGCCAGCGTAGCTCCTCATCGCTCGTGTCCCTCCCAGCTTCCCAGTCGCTGGAAAGGCCACCGGTGCCCCCGCTAGGGCTCTTCCACTTTCGCACACCCGCCGGTGTCCATTCACTCGTCAGCTCAGACTCGCCCACTGAGTCGTCGAGCCCACCAGTGGTCTCGCCGAAGGCCTCATAGTAGGACCTCATGTTGGCTGTCTCGAAGCAAAGCAGGCTGCAAGCCGCTATTCAGCCGCTCGCAGGCGGCACCACCAAAAAACACAACTCCTCCACAAGTTCACAAAGCCGTGGATCGCACCCTAGCTCACCCCAAAGTGGCCGCCTCGCAGAGCAGCAGCAAAGTCGCGGCACAGCGCGCCCCGGATCGCAACACAGGCTCCGCTGCCAGAGAAATCTGACAGCGCACAAATGCGCGTAGCAACGCGCTCACAGACCTTTTCACCTGCTCCGTTCCAGCCAACAGCGGCTTCGGTGAGCACGTCTCGAAACATTATCTACGCTGCACATGGACCGGAAAGTGCACGCTTTCAGTCTTACTGTCCTGCATGAACTGTCCATTTGCGCCAGGTAGCGGATCATTCTCGTCGGCTCCCAGCTCTCTTCGGTCGCGCAGCTGCTGATCTGCATCGTAGTCTTTGAGGAAACTTGAAGCATCGACGACCGTCACGAGCGTGTCCAGGCGAGCGACAGTGCCAAGCAGTGTTTTACCGTCATGTTCGTGGACGAAGGTCGTAGCCACAGGCATTGGCTCTGAGATGCCAGTGCTTTCGATCAGGAGATAGTCGAATCGCTTCTCTGCAGCTAGCTTGGTCACGTTCTCGATAAGATCCTCACGGAGGATACAGCTAATGCCCTCTTTCTGCATCTCGACCATCTTGTCCTGGCCCTTGAGAAGCTCAGATCCGGACCTGGGATGTGCCGGAGAGCTGCAGGATCCTCTACTTTGAAGATACCTACTTGGAGGTTCACGGGTAGTTAGAAGTGGGGTTATAAGTCCCCTAATATGGGTTATAATTACAATTACCCTACTTATAACCCGACTTATAACTACCCATGAACCTCCAAGTACTTTGAAGATACCTACTCTCCAAGACAGCCAATTCCGACTAGTACGTGTCCCTGCGGTGGGGCTTCAAAACACCGACCAAGGCTAGTACGGTGTGCGATGCTATGCGGCTGACCCTGCGACAAAGTTCCACAGATCTGGCTCAACACAGAACTCAGCCTCCCACTTCAGCAGCGAGCCATCGACGTCGACCTCTGCCAAATTGACAATGACGGCGACCCGAAGGCCTTCTTGGTTTCGGAGCAAATTCGTCAGGAGCGCCGTCTTGCCTGCACCAAGGAAACCGCTGAGGACGGTCGCTGGTAGAAGACTCCGAGGTGTGGGAGCTTGCTTCACGGGCTCATCGTTCTGGCCATCTGCATCCCCGAAATCCATGTCGATAAACTGCTGCAGCTCGTCCTTCGGGAGCAGATCCAAGGTGATGAGGAGCCTTGCAGGATGAAAGCCTTCGCCGGCGGAGTAGGGTGCCCGGCGCAGGCAGGGCCGCTTGGTCAACTGCCCCCCTTTCATGATGACCAGGTCTCCGGGTTCGGTCGCAACATGACCGGGACAGACCGTCTCGTTCCACTCCCGGATAGCTGCGAGGGCCTCTGCTGCAGAAAGCTCCGGATTCTCGGCAAGGGCCGGGACAGCCCTCTGGCAAGTCTCAAGGAAGTCCCAGTCGACCTTTGCCTGGTCAGCAAGGACTGTACCGTCGCCGGCCAGTGTCACGGCAAAGCGAACATTGTCGAAGCGGTCATTGTGATACTTTGTGCAGGCCCCATTTTGGTTCACCTCAAAATTGACCTTCCAGCGCAACTCGCCTTTTCCGCCCGATGGCTGACACGCCTCATGCAGCAGCATCAGCCGCTCCAGCAGGTGCAGCAAAGCCTTTACTGCGGATGAGCTTCCCGTGGCCAGCTCCTCACTGACAGACCCTTGATCTAGCTCTTCAGCGCAGTTGCGAAAATCTTCCTCCATCTGCCGCTGCAGCTGCTGATTGAAGGTTTCTCCGGGTTTGGCCAAATGGCCCTCATAGTAGCAGAGCTGATCCGTCACCGGCTCCCCCAATTCGCAGAAGAGTTTTGCCCATTCCAACAAATCGAAATCCTGACAAGTGTCGCCAACAAAGTTTTTGATAACCAAGCAGTTCATGTCAGAGGCCTTCACCATCTCTTGCGCCATCCTTTCTGCAGAGTCCGCTCCACATAGCTCAACAGACTGCATGGCCCTCTACAGCAGCCGAGGTATCTACCCGGCAATAGTACACAAGTAACGAAAGATCTCCGAATGCTGTCAGGGTGATTGTCGGAAAATCTTTCTTCAGCTGTAGTAACAGGCCCCAAAGTAAACACGAGTAGATACCCAAAAGCACTGCTGCACACCAACACACAAAACTCTCAATTATGCTATTTCGCGATTGCAGCTGGCAACCTCCGCACTGAAGCTTCTGCAGAGGTCACGGGTGCTGGCTCTGTTGCTCCAGGCACGAAACGCAGATCAGCACTCTGATATGTACGTCCCCAAACCAACTCGATTTTGGCTCTGGGTGCGAGTCCTGGAGGTCCCAATTCAAGAGAACATGGGCGGTTGGGGAGTTGCCCCCTTATGTACCTAGCCGGCCGGTGCGCCCTGGCCCGTTCTGGCTCCTAAATGTCTGCAAGCTTTTTGCAGGGTAGGGACTTATGGCCTAGGCACGGAACTGGCCGTTTCGAAAAAAGTTTCAAGATGATTCAAGACACGCTGGTGATCGGTCACCATCCAAAATCAAAAGCTTGAGCTTGGGGTTGAGGTCTGCGACTCTTAAGGTCCAGAGGCGTCTGGACGATTCCGGGTTTCACGGCCAGCTGTGTCGTAGGCAGGGTGCGTTGGGATCGGGGTCGAGGGGGTCCGACAGCAGTGTTTGAGTAAAAGGGATGTGGGCTGAAGGCTGAGTCTCAACTGGAATTGGTGGGATTTTCGGTTGGAGGTTTGGCGCGAGGATGTGAAAAGCCAGAACTGCCCCATGTCGCTCTTGTGTTGCCCTTGGTGCTGCCCTCATTCGCCTCTTGCTTCGCCCCTGCTGCGCAATCGACATGACGTTCCCTAAGGTGGCTTTTTCATGCCCTCACGCTGCTGTGCTTTATTTTCCCCGCTTGGCATGATTGCTGCGTGTATTGCTTCCTTGGCTGGCTCAAACAAGACCCGCCAATCTTGGCCAACGTCACAACAAAAACTTGCACAGAATGGCCCTGATCTCACAGAGCCGGCAGTCCACGCTGCTTTAAATACAACCAGGGATGACCGACCGATACGAACGACTGCACATCCCAGAATCAACACCCTTGCAAGCCCGCCTGCAACTCGGCGGGATTGAGCTGTTTACACTGGGCCCGGACTCCTGCAAATGACTTCGCTTTTCGGGCCCAGAGCAAAACAAGATAGATCAGGAACTATCAGTTCGTGTCCATCCTCCCTCAGTCTAGCTGCTGGCCCGAGCCCATGACAAGCTGGGAAGTCTTCTGTTGCAACCCAATGCACCTCTCAAAGCTGAAGTAAGCCTCGCAAGAAGCTTCAAGTCTTCAAGTGCAGCCGGAGCCATCAGATCCGACGTCCGCTTTCGCCGAGGGCCGGGCTGTTGTATCTGGGCAACCAGGCTGGAGCCTGAGGTGGACTTGAGAGGCTCCGCTGGTCAAGTACGAGTCATTCGAGCCCGCCTCCACCTTTCTCGGAGCATAGCGGCAGCTTCCCCAGCAAACCTTCCATCTTATGGGGGGGTACAGTGACCATTGCAGATTGAGACTCTGCGACAGGACCATGTCGTGGCCAGGTTTTCCTACCACTCGCCGAGAGCGGCTGCCGCGGAGCCCTGGATGCGCTGAGAGAGCCGATCCCTGCTTTCTGTGCGATAGGCCTGGGGGCTGCCCCAGCTGAACGGCGCAGACCTCATCAGGACCGGTTTTGGGACGTGCAAGCCCATGTTCCACCTAATCGTCTTCACTCTCACAAAACGTAACCAACATCTCAAATTCCCCTAGATTTGGTGACACACTGCCTGCTGCCGCACGGCACGAAGCAGTTGAGGCTTGTCCTCCAAAAAGTTGCGAAAGCGAGCCGTCCCAGCTAGACAAAGTAGCGAGTCGTCGTTTCAGACATGCAGAGGCAGCCCGGCAGACAGCCCCGGTCTCCCTGGTGTTCACCGCGTGGTGGAAGGCGGCAAACTTCACCTGCAAAGCTCCGCATCTGAGTGCGCCGCGTTTTCCCGGGGCCCGGGGGGGCGGGCTCCCCGCTCTTTGCGTCGCCTCCTCGCCCCTCGCAGAAGGCGTGCTCCAGATGCAGTGGTAGTCGGGTATCGTCGCCTTTCTGCAGAGACAAAACTGTGCAACCACCAAAGTCGCCAAAGACGCGAAGCCCGCTAGCAGTTCTCTAGCAATCCCAACCTGCACCAGGAACAGCTCAAAAGCAGCACTCCCACGCCCATCATTCATAACATGCCAAGAAAAACAAGTGTTCAGAAACATGATCTCACACAAGGTAGGACCAGACTCCGAGGACTCAGCCCAGCGCACCCCGAAGGCCCCCTCCTTGCGCTTCCGATTTGGGATGGTTCAGCATGGTTCAGCTTACGGCTCCGGGAAGCCTTAGGGCGCCTGAGCGAGGGTTCTTCGGCCGGACATATCAGTCCCTTAAGAACAGTCTTGGAACTTGCGGGCACGACATGCATGCATACATCCTGACAGAACACCTGCACGTGTCACAGGTGCATGTGCACATGAACCTTGGACAAAATGCCAAAGTCCTGAGGGAAAGCGCCCCGGCGGTGGCCAAGTCCACGATTCAAGTGAAACTGATCCTCACAACGAAGAAACGGGGCACCAAAGCAATTTCCAACTCGAAGAACCTGCAGATGCTGCTTCCTGGGTCCAACGCGGTATACGGCGGATGGCCCTCCATCTTTGGGCAAGCCTCCCAGCAGTGGTGCTTCGTGCTGGGGATGCGGAGGCTGGACACCATCATCCCGCCTGCTCTTCCTTCAGAACAGTCTGCCAGAAGGACCTCGCCGGAAAGCTTCAATCCAGAAATCTCTTCTGACGGGGAGAGAAAGAAGACGCCAAAGGGCAGAGAGCAGCCTGGTCCGGGCATTGCAGTGGACGACGTAGAAACCAGCATTCACCTCGCCAAGGCGAAGATGAGGTATGACCTGGTGCAAAAGGCAGCTGTGAGATGCTGTATGTGAGTAGTTCTCGAAATTACGGTCCATCTTAGTCTTAGGCCCCCAACAAAAATTGCAGCTTCCATGGTAGTCAAAGGTATGCGATTTCCCAGGGTTCCCTCTCTAGTCCATAGACATGCCATAGACCACCAATGCACTATAATGCACTCGGCCTCCGTGCGCTCGCGCATGAAAATCATGTCAAGTGATTCGTCCTGGCAAAGCCGTGCCCAAACACATGTGGAATTTGCTGCGTTGCCGATACTCCTCCTGCTAGCAGGTGCTTGCCTACTGCCATCCTCCAAAGGAGAATGTAATTCCACGGCCTGTCCTTCATCCACTGCAGCCACTCGCGCTGAAGCTGCCTCAGGAGTGCTCTGAAGGATTGCGAGCACTTAGCTTGTCGGACACTCGAAGATACATGTCACCCACACCTTCTAAACTCACGAATGTCACATCCGGGCTACCTGCAAAAATCGAGGGAAGAACTGGATGTCAGTGTCCTGCAATGAGGGCAATGAGACGACTCCAGAGGCTGGCCTTCCGGATAGGGCAGCAAAAGTCTGCCAGGACAGTTTCAACCCGTCCGTGTGGATGAAGTACTCGCCCATGTGGCGGTCAATCCAGCTGACGACCTGCTGCGCGAAAAAGTCGTAATCACTTTGTTCTATGCAGCTCTGCAAGTAGCACCACCGTGCACTGCCACCGCCGCCGCCATTTTGCTACACGTCTCGCTTGGATTCGGCGACGCGCGGACGAATACTGATCCTCTCCCTAGACTGGACTATAAACCACTAAGCATGCTCTCGCATTTGTTTCCTTGCCCGTCTCTTTCCGAGACATTCCGAAGTTCCCATCAGCCTCCTCGAGCTGGCGGTCAATTGCCTTTCTCCAGGACTCCGTGCAGTAGCCGAATGGAGGCGTCAGCCTTGAAGCTGCCAACGGATGTTCTACCCTTGACACGCATGCGAACAAGAACTCCCCAAGCGAGCGACCGTCAAATTTCTTCAGTGTTGGGGGGGTTGGCTGTTGCTCGCAGCAAAAACATCACCCTCCGCGATGCAGAGCTGGCTCAGATTTGCTAAGGGCAGAGCTGCCCTAAGTCCACCACGTTGATCTTTTGCCTGCCCGAAGAGGAGTGAAAAGCCGTCGGAGACCGCAACACTTCACACACCACCGGGTCAGCAAACCGGACACGCTGGAACAATCATCGAGAGCCAAGCACACACAGGAAACGCTGGAACGAACCTCCACAGATGAACAAATGAAGTCCAAGCTTTGGTCCTCACTCAAGCCCAGAAGGCCCAGATACATCCCGATACCTTTGTCAACATGAGGGGTCAATTCGCCTCATATGGCCCAGGCCCTTTGAGCAGTGGGCTGTGAAACAGAGGTGCCTCGTCCACCCCGAAAAAGATGGTGCTATCCCCAGTGAGATGGAGCCATACACATATGCTTCCGCCTTCAAAAGTACCACGGTGTCACTGCATAGAAACACGAAAAGAGGATAGCTCCTGTATCTGAATTCCTCGGGTCAGTGCAAGCCCTCCGTGATGGCCAGAGCAGAAGTTTTCTGAATGTACCTGTCCAGCGCTCAGGCCCAGACACAGCCTGTTGTCTCGGAAGTCTTGAACAAGAGCGTCTGAGGGGCTCCGGAACCTCAACACTTCAGCTTCAATCCCTTCTGCCTCAGGTCCGGCTCCAACAGACGCTTCGTCATCCAATCCTGAGCGGCACTACACCCAAGACCACCATGGACACTGCCGAAGCTCCGGTGCTTACAACTCCAAAGCAGCGCGGTCGCGACACGCCTAGGGGCCCGGCGGATGTCTTGGCGTGTATCAGTTTCGGAAGCCTCGACACGAAATCCAGCGCCTGTCAACAAGCGATAGAGAGAGACAGTGACACTGTTCACTGGTTGTTGCCCCGGTGACTGCAGGACGTTTAGTGTAAAAGGGGACTGGTTCAAAGAACACACCACCTGAGCTCGTAGGGACTCCCGTGTGCTGCCTCCTTTTTGACTCCTGCACGTTCCCATGATCGGACAATTGCGTCTTGAACACTTCTGAGGCTTGGGAGACAAGACGTCTATGGCCCAACCTCGCCTGCAATGACGGTGGCAACACTGCGGTGGGTGCAGGCATCTCAGTCGGTGAAAGTTTCATCGGCGGATTGCCCACATAATGTGATTGACTCAGTGTCGGCATCGCTGTGTACCCCTCAGGGGCAACGGGGGCAACGGTGTGGGATGCCCCGGCAGGGTGTGCCGGTAATGGCATCGAAGGCGCTCATTGCATAACGGCACGCCCCGAGCATCCACAGCATGCGGTCGAGATTCGCTTGCTCATCTCCACAGCTGCAGCGAAAAGTCTGGCCGTTGAGATTCTCATTTCAGTTCACACATACGCACAGGGATTTGGAGCAATTCCTTGGTCCCTGTTTGGGGGGAAGGGAAAAGGAACGACGGCGCCGATTTAAACGGTTAGGCATCCCGAACCACAGAAAGCAAACAGCATCCCCAAGCTTCGGGCAGCCTGCTAGCATCTGCTGCAGGATTCCTAGGTTTTGCAATTATATAACCCCATACTGAAAGCCTTCCCCTATCACATACTGAGAGCCCCCAAGATAAACAATGGCAAAGTCGTACTACGGTTTGACGTAGTTTCTGGCACTGAGTCGGGGCAACAGCTATTGAAGGGCCCACACCACTGAGACGAGTAGTGTTCACCGCAGTTTTTGCGAGGACTTCCGCAGCCGTCCGGCAAGTAGTGCCGCCAGTTTGGATGAGTCATGCCTCTGTCCTCAGATGCTATGCCCAAGGGATTCCAAGGGGAAGGTCCAAATGTGCCCGCAGCGCTTGAAACTGGGTAATCGCACGCTGTCGACGCAGGGAGGGCGGTGCTTGATTGCCGTAAGCATATGAAATTGATGCAGGCGAGACAGCGCCTGCCTGCCGTAACAATTCTGAGTGGATGCAGGCGAGACACGCCCCTGTCAGCGTCCCGTGGGTGCGGGCGAGAAAGGTGGCTCTCTATCCCAGTACTCGGACAGAGTGAAGGACAGTGGAATGCCAGGCATCGATCCATAGACACGGAGGTTTGCCAAAGCGCAGAATGTAAGCTCTTCCAATGGTGGCGTGGAGCGGCGTGCGGCCGACATGTCGCGCGCTTGTGCCACCAAGGTGGCGTCAGGTTCCATGCGCCACGAGGCGTGAGGTCGAACGTGGCGGCTGCTGCTACTAGCTTGGTGGCAAGAGACGCCGGCACGGGACCATACGTATGGGTTGGTCCAGTGCATTGCCGGGGTATGCTCAATCCGCTCTTTGTGGCACAGCGGCGGAAAGGTCCCAATGTGGAGGGGAATGTGGAGGGGGTGGAGGAAGTGAAAAATGGAAGAAAAGTTCGAAAGCTGCAGAACCTGCATCAAAAACCTTTTTCGTCTTTACAGGCAAAAACTCGTTTATTTGAGAGCATGCCGCGAAGAATGAGCTGGCTTTGCCGAGCAATCTCCAATCAGAAGCTCCGGCATCTGTGGCAAAAGCCGATTCCCGGTGATTCCCGTCCGAGGATGTTGCACCAATGGCCGGGTCCCAAGGACAAAGCGGAGTAGCCATCTGAGTAGCAAAGTGGTGCGAGGCTACCTCTGATCTTAAGCTTTGCAGCTGCGAAGTAGCTCAACTCTTTTTCTGCATACCGCATACCACCTAAACCCCTTAAGCCACTAAGTGACATGATGGTGGAATACCCGTGCGGAACCTCCCGGGCAGCCAGCACAGCTGCGTGGAAGTTTTTGAGGTGCCGCATGAACTGCGGGTTGTCCTGCAAGCTGGGTCTTGAAGCGCTCCGACCAGATCTTTGAGCAAATGTCAGCTATCACCGCAATGGTCTACAACGACTATTCAAGCTGGTGAAGCCTTAGGTGAACCATATTTGGTCGGCCTTACAGTTCGTGGATATGTCCCGCTTGCCCTCTTGACGGAATGCCTCTACCCCGAACGTCTCTCAATCCAGAAGCACCTGAAGCAAACGGAGCCCTGACAAGATTCGAAGGTTCATGGACTCACACCGCCCAAACATGCCGATGCACCTTGAGCTGGGGGCTTAGCCGCTGCTCCGGAATCTTCATGACCTCGCAGTCGCGATGGCTCTCTTTGCAGATGCGAGCCGCTCTCGCTACAACCGAGGTCCACTTGCACGGTGTTGGTTGTCCGAGATCACAGTCTAAGATCCGGACATAGAGTCTGAGTTCCAAGTATTCCTGAGTCACGGAGATAAGCGAAACTTGGTGAACCCCGTCACTACAAGGGGCACAGAATGGTTCTACGAAGACTATGCTGGAACCCATGAGTTAGACAGACTCCAAAAACCCGATGATTTGCGTGGAGGACGGACACCTCGCAACACTATCGCGAGACGAGATGGAAAGACGTGCTGGCAGCCCGGTCGCGTAGATCAGATGCTTGGCCAAATGGAGCCAATCTTCTGTACCTTGCATGCAGATCAGAGGAATCATTGAGAACTCGCATCGCCAGGTCTGGAGTCTAGCAGTCTAGCATAAGTCCAATCAAAGCCGCACTTGGACTCGTAGAAGATGCAAGCTTCTGCCAGTGGGATCACATCCGCAGGGAGCTTGTCGGAGGAGGTCTCGGGAAACAGCCTCGGCTTCTGGGAATTAGGTGATAGGGCGAGGTCCGTTGAAAGCTGCAGAGAAGTGGCTTGTTGGTGAACTGCTCCTTAGAAAGTAGAACGTCGAAGCCAAAGAGCTAAGCTCAAAGCCGCCGAGCCGCACTGTCGGACCCCAACGGCGCGTGCTAGCGACAAGAACCCCCCTCTGTGTGAACAGCAAAGGCAACAAGTCGACAGCCAACAGCTAATCAGCAGCTAACCAGATCCAAGCGTCAACAACCTGAGTCGAGCAGTTGATGCACTTGCACAGAGGGAGAACCATGCCAAGGTGCAAACAGCAAAGACTTGACTGTGACGACCCATCCATCTACTTCGAGGGGCGGAGACAAAGTCATTCTCCAACCGCTGCTTTCCTTCGATATCCCTCCGCCTCAGGTCAACGACCAGTCCCCGGCTGGAGACGGAGCACATCTGAGCACGTAAGCAACTCTTGCATCCCCACTCTGCCGGGCGACTCCTCGGCCTGTGTTAGCTCGAGCTCCACCGTGATGATCTGCTCCACGTTCTCGAAGACCTGCGGATGGGCTGAGCTGCCTTGGGCCTTGGGCCTCTTGGGCCTCTTGGGGCCGGCTCGGGAGCTTCAAGAGTCCTCAAGGATCCAAGAGCGGGGGAATCCTGCCGGTGGCCTTCGTCATGATCTCGTGCCGCGCTTTGACGAAGCGCTCCTCCCGGGACAAGAGCGGCTGAGAGTCAAGGCGCCAGAGCGTCGAAAGAGACCGACACCCACACAAGCCCACCTCGAACTCCATCCACAGGCGATCGAAGAGCTCGATGTCGTCCTGGACCGAAGCACAATCCACGCCGCAACACAGGGGGGCTAGGGTGCCTCACACCCATTTGAATCATCCACGACCTCCTCCGAAAGAGCTTGAGAAGCGTAGAATCCCGAATGGACGCAAGGCGTTGTTTCTACTTCAGGCTTCCCCTCCAAGCTTTGGCTATGGCCACTCCGGACACAACATCTCAAGCAGACTCTCACGCGCGGCACACTCTAACCCATCGTACTCAAAACCAAAGCCCCCGGATGCTCGGAGTGCCTTCAACTCTGCTTTGAAGCGAGGTAGGCCCGGCGCGAAGTCGTCCTCCCACTCAATCTGCTTCACTACATCTGCAACATCTTAAGATCTCTAGATTGCAGATGATTGCAGCCAAGAGCTTTACCTTCCAAGAATGACGCGAAACGAACTTCATGCTCTGCCCAGAATCCTACGAGGGCGTCCTTGAGCCGCGGCTCAATTTCACTGGCGATCTTCGTCATAGTGCTGTCGACCTCCTTTAAGAAGCCTTCCTCAGAGGATATCACAGGAGGGCTTGGGATCAAGTAACAGAAAGTGCATTCCAATGACTTAACGACTCAACACAACAGCGCCCTTCCCAACCTCAACCAAGGAACTGCGGCAAGCTTGATTTCATCCGGGTACGTATGCAGCACTCCGTTGAAAGTCCTCGGGAATCGGCTGAAACTCACTCTCGATGTGAGGCGAAGCCTCATCAAGGTGACGACATTGGCGCTTGCATTTCTCGGATCACACTTTCTCATACGGAGTACGGAGAGTCTCTCTATGCGGCCCCATGCGTCTGGCCTCGTCTGCTGCAGGTAGTGGTTTCCGCTCTCTGAAGATGCCGTAGATGCAGCTATGCAGCATTGCATGTAACACACTTGTTCACAAGCCTTGAAATAAAAACTGATAGATAGAAAGTCATAAGGTCATAGAGTCATAGACTTCATAGCCAACCACATCCTCACGACGGGAAGATGCATGACCGATGCAACGACATGCGGTCAACTTCTGGTAGAATACATACGCCGTCTCAAGTAGGCTAGGTTCACTTTGGCTACCAGATATCAGGCCAAAATGTTGTGCCAAGACACACGCCCGGTCTCTCCTGGGCTTCTCTCGCCTCCGTGGGTTGCATAGCAGTGAGCTGTTGACGCTTCCGGCGAAGGGCTCGGCGATCCTTACTGAAGCTCTGCCGTGCTCTGCCTGTCGGATGACGTTGACGTCAAAGCCCATTGGGAAAAACTGCGGGGTCGGCGACAAGAGCCTCGAGGATAAGTCGGTTGAGTTCGCTCGGTCCGGCTGAATCCAAGGAGAAGCTCAACCGTCTCAGCGGCGGACCGGTGAAAAAAATTGAATCTGTAGTCCTGCCGCATGCGGCTTTGTGACACGCGCGCAACGCCAACACCGACGGCTTCACTTCTGGCTCGCGGCGGGCTTTGTGCTCTCAAGACAAGCTTCCGGCCGTGTTTCTAAATCACGGTCCTTGTTTGAGTGGATGCCTAAGTACTCCGCGAGGAGGCCCACCATGTTTAGAAACCTCGCGACCTGCAGCCGTAGTGCAGGTTTGACGAAACCCAAGGGATGCTTTGGGCTTTGATTGCGGCCCTTGTCTAGCCAAAAGAACGGCAGCAACAGTTGCTGCCATGCCTTCTTATACGCGAAGTCATCCAAGGCATCCGTTGCGACGAACGGGAGGCTTTCTTGGATTTCTTTACATTCCTTCATTTGCGGTCTGAAAGAATAGAGCCACAAAGTCAAGAACAGGACAAGCCGGTCATGAGCCTGGAGCAGGCAGTACTCTCGCGTGCCCTTGAAGCGGACAACGTCCGGGGTGCCGGTGAGCTTCGCCTTCTTCTTGCCCTGCGGCCCGCACGATCACCAGACGACTGAAGGTCATTGTGCAAGGGTCACAAATGCTAGCAGCTAGCATCACACACGGACTGAACTCGATAGGGATAGGGCCAACAGCTGGTTTAGGTGCTGCAAGCTGCAACAGGGTCACTGCTATATGACTGTCCGTCGCAAGAAAGCTGCAGCAAAGCCCCACCATCAGTCAAATCCAAAATCCCGCCAATTCCGAAGTGAGTCAAACTCAGACCCGATGCCCTGGCCTTCTTTCCCATGCCGCGGGGCCTCAGCAAATCAGGAATGCGGGCAGAACAACACGTGGACGGACCGTTGGAATTTTGATCGCCAACCAGGCCGATTTCCCCTGACGAAACCAAGGAGCTGAGGGAGGAAGTCGAGAAGGAAGCCAAAAGCCTATTGCCTTCGGCAACCTTCCCTCTGAGCCCAGATTTGCGGCACAGCCACGGTCACGAGGGCATTGAAAGAACCAGCTACTGCACGAGCTCCCATATGCATCCTATCCTTCCCAAACTGCCATAACCTTACGCCGCAAGCAAATGCAAAAGCTGGCCTGGGATAGCCGAGGTACCGAAGTGAAAACCTTGCAAGTTTAGCCCCCTCGCTAAAAAAGACAGAGGGATCACGATGATCATGATGTAACTCCCCACATTCAACCTGCAAGCGCAACAGCCCGTCCAGACGCTGAGACGGCAGCTGCCAGAAGTCAAAAACGCTTTGGTAGTTGCTTGATGTTACCTCAGTCAATATTTTGTGGTGCTATCTCACACAACCATCCCAAAACAAACCACAGCGGAAAGAGCAAACGTACATCTTGACGATTGGTTCTGTGACAAGCCTCCCCAACTCGGTCTTAACTGCAGCCCTCTCGGGAAGACTTGATAAGACTTGTGTGTCGATGTTTAGCTGCGATCAGAATCAAGACTCAAGATGCAAGCTTATTGCCACAATAGTAGACTGTGCAACCAAGCTGCAGCCAAGAGAGGCAGCAGCTCTCCTCACAAGAGCACACTCACAAGCAAGAGGAAAATTTGCTCTGGCAGGGCACTACGAGAACCGGTTGCATGGCAATTTTGCTCTACAAAGGACTTTTGGAGCTCCTGCAATGGGCTCGCGCAGCCATTCCAAAACCTCCTCCTCGTGTGCCATGACATTGAACGACGACTAATTGCAACGATGACCGCCATATGAATGTCAGTGCTTGCTTTACTGCCAGATTCACAAACGAGACAACGCCAACACATGGCTGCCAGCGTGCGCTAAATTGAATGTACGTTGCATTTGCAAAATGTTCGCGTGCTTTCCGAATGTCTGCGGTGAACCACCGTCTCTGCAGGAAACGTGCAGCTTCAAAACATGAAACCAAGACTCAAACAATCGGCGGTGTGCGAGTCCAATGCTTAGATTCCAAACCCAAATGGAATGCTGTTTCCAAGCCCGGACTTGCTGTCTTTTGTTTGAACGGATGTGTCTGTTTGATCGAGTCCATCCTTTACTAATCCCTCGAAGATGTCAACAGAACGACAATCAATCGTGTTCATTCTAACTTCGAAGCGAATTGCAGCTGATTCGAGAGCGACGCTAAACCTGGGAAATTGCATTGCACTGCTGGTCGTATGTTTCCTGTTCTCACCAACCCACATGAAACAACTCCTGCTTTTGCAATGGTTGCAGTCTGGGAATTGACAAACAAAATCCAATCACAAGACTGTTTGAACAGTCGTGCGTTTAGCCAACCTCCGAAACAAAGCTGCCAAAATGCTCTGGCATGGCAATTACCGGCTGCATGGCAATTTCGAGCTTCGCTCAAATATTCCAACACCCTCTAAATTCGATGTCGAAGACTTCGAATTTACTGCCTCCTTCAAAGACGAGAAAGCGCCATGCGGTGTTGCAAAATCATTCCAGGAAGCGTGCAGCTTCAAGAACATGAAACGCAAAAACAAGCGGGAGCATGCGATCCCAAACCAGGCGAATCTGCCTTAAAACCAAAAACAAAAATCCGCATCTCTGCAACTCTGAAGAATATGGCGGGTGCGACGTTTAAAGCGGCAGCAATCGCTACTGCAAACGCCACACTCTTTAGTTGTTGCGGCGTTTAAAGCGGCAAGCAATGTTGCAGGTCAGATTTCTTTTTTCAATCAAAGGATGACTTGCATCGGAACTGAGATCCAGATCAATTTTCGGATTGACTCGAAACCCTGAAGCTCTAAAACCCAGCTTGAAGCTTTGTATGTCTTGTGCACACGTGACTGCTAGACGAGAGTGGCTGTTCTGGCCATGCCATGGTTCTTTATGTGCTAGTGGACACATGAAACTTGAGGACCACCAGGTGGCTGATAGAATTTGTGCAAACCAAACTTTGCGTGCCAGATCCAAACAGACCGCGTAGCATCCATAGCATAGCAACGCTGGAGCAACCACACTTGTCTTAAAGTACAAAAACTAAGAATGAGAATCTTCAAGAAGACTTTTTTTTTGCGTCGACGGCGGCTGCCGCACTCGGTCCTGGGGTAAGCAACAAAAAGAAACTAAAATCACAAGACCAACCAAGCGGTGAAACATCCTGCAACTTAGCGGACTTGGTCGGACGAGGTCGTTTGGCAGTTAATTACAGCTTTATATGAGCAGCAGCTCGCTCAGATGCCCCGCTTTCCAAGTCGCGCAATGTCCAATCCATCTCTCCGCTTCCCGCAATGTCTGAATTGCGCAATGGCACATACTGGCAGTGGCACTCCTTGTAAACGCCTAGGCAGAGCAACCTGAGATTCCACATGAGGATTCGACGGATGCTGATATCTTGCAATGGCTGACTATTCTGTGCTCCTTCCACAAAAGGTAGCTGAAGATGAGACTGATAAGACGCACAGCTACAAGGTTCTGAAGACTGGCTTCAATCGTGCATTGCCTTCTCTTCTAACTCTGCCTCTCTTTCGAACCAGCAACGAATTCCGTTTCCCGGGTCCTCTTCCCGAACTAGTCAGTGGCCCATGGCGGGTCATTTACACACCGGTGTAAGTTCCAGTAACAAACACTACACGCAACCAGAGAGCACTCCATTTGAGTAGACCTTCCCAGGCAGCGGCTGCAGGCCACAATCCACGGTAAATCTAAGATGCAGCCGTCAAGCGATTGCCACGTGCGGCTTGCCAGGCGACTTTTTACCAAGACGTGCGCTGTCCGACCTGCGCGAAAGGCAACTTTATCCACTTTGAAAGTCACGTTTGCTCATTTAACTTACCAGACTCTAAACGTCGTCACTTCCAGAACACACAGGATAGGGGGTCCTGA